AGTGATAGGGAATGGCAAAGGACACACTGACAAAGGAGATTAATCAGAACTGGCTTTGACAAGCACTGTGGCAATTGGACAATTAAAACAGACATTCGGAGGGCGGGGGAAGAAGAACAAACTGGGGAGGAGGGTAGAGAGAACGGTGAAGCAATGAAGGAATGAAAACCCAAAGTCCCTGTAAATGTTCATTAAAACTAATAAAATGTAATAATAATGATAAAAAAGAAAGATGAGTAATTTCTTCCTGTGCTATTTTCTTCCTCTGAAAACGCACTGGAAGGTCTGCTGTGGGTTCATTCTGACTCAGTTGTACTCTATAACATGCTTCTGAAAGATGGACAATGAGTAAAGATAATGAAAGAAAAATGGATGCCTTTGACGGTGGTGTTGAAGCAGAGTACGGACTATCCCATGGATTGCCTGAAGAACAAATAAGTCTGTCTTGGAGGAAATGTAACCAGCGTTCTCTGTAGAGGCAAGGATGATAAAACTTGGTCTCACACACTCTGGCCATGTTGTCAGGAGAGGCCAGTCCTTAGAAAAAGATAACATGCTGGGAAATGTGGAGAGTCACTTAAAAAAAAGAAGAATTTTGAAGGCAAAATGAAATATTCTCTATTGTTTCCATACTAATAAAATCAGAAGTGACTTACTGAAAAACAAACAAACAAACAAACACAAAACCAAAACCAAAAACAAACCCAAACAAAAAATATAAAAAAGGAAGAGTTTCAAGGAGATGGATTTACACATACACGAGTTTCACGTGGGCTTGAGCATATAGTTAGGATGGTGCAGGGCTAAGATAGGACAAGGTTCAGATCTGTTTTTCATAGGGTGGCTGAGAGTTATAGTCAACTTGATTGCACCCACCTAACAAGAAGAATATGTGAAATTATTCACTACAGGTTAGTTAGTAAACACAAGTCAGCCTTTGCTTACTCGTGCTTACTTACTGGGTGTCATTAGTTGAATCATGTCTCTCCCAAATAAAAGCTTGCTTGGCTTGAGACATGATTCTCAGCTTTTTACTTAATGATTTAACGTTGCAGCAGGATTGATTCTCTATAAACTGACAAGCCAATCAATTGTAAAAGGATTAGGGATAAAATGCAACACCTTCAATCCTGTTACAGCCTTGATCTAATGTAATGTGGGTTTACCTTGGGTGTGATATAGGAAAGATTAAAGGAAAGATAAGAAGGTAGAGAGAGATGTGTTCCACCACCTCCTCTCTGCGAAACAAGATGGTGGCGCCCACTGGTTGTTCGTCGGCCTTCCGGGTCAAGAGTTCCTACAAGCGTCTGGGATCCATTCTCACTCTCGACTTGCAGCTCTTTTCTTCCACCATCATTACTTTGGATGCCCAGCGATTAGCAGAGAGTCTTCGTGCCCAGAAAGGGGATCAAAAGAAAGTGCCGGCAGTCCTCTGTGATAAGTTGAAAAGAAAATCTCAGGTGTCTACAAACCCTGTTCAGCGGAGGGTGAGCGAGCTGGTGCGGTTCACACGACAGCTGCAGCAAGTCCATCCCAACGTGCTTGCTAAGGCCCTGCGCAGAGGGATTCTCCACCAGGACAAGGACCTAGTGATTGTCAACAAGCCCTACGGTGTACCTGTGCATGGTGGTCCTGGTGTTCAGCTCTGTATCAGTGATGTACTGCCCATCTTGGCAAAGATGCTGCATGGCCAGAAGGCAGAGCCCCTACATCTGTGTCACCGGCTGGACAAGGAGACTACGGGTGTAATGGTGTTGGCTTGGGAGAAAGAAGTAGCACATCAAGTCCAGGAGCTGTTCCAAACCCGTCAGGTGGCCAAGAAGTATTGGTATGAGGCCCATTATGGTGGGAGGTGTGGAAGAGGTGGCAAGGGCAAATATCCATTTATCTGTCAGTGATAAAAGCATTGTGCTCAGGAGCTGTGAGGATAAAAAAAAGAAAACCATCTGAAACAGTCTTAATACATAGAGTACTTTATTCTTATAGAATAGTGATTCATGTTTCTTAATTGTGTCTATCAAATTTATAAGTTCATTCTCTAAGTGATAATTTGCTTTTCTTTTTTTTTTTTTACTACTGTTTTTGTGTGTATACTAGCAAATCAGATCTGACTGGTACAGGAGATTGTCCTTTCTCCAGCAGAGTATCTGGTGCATTTGAACCATGCACCTCTGGGTTTGCAATGCAGCTTTCTGCCACTAGGCCACCAGAGCTCTGTGATTTTATTTCTGTAGTAAAAAGTTCATAAACCTTAAAGGCTCCTGGAGAACCCACACGTCTGATTATCCTCCCTCTGAGAGAGTAACCTCAGTTGGTTTTATCAGTTTGGTTTTTACCCTTCTGGTCCTTACTCAGTGAGTCCGTATAAATTATATACAGTGTGACCGTGTACATGAATGTCAAATTATGCTTATTTCACAACTGTGTTTTGGGCCTCTTTCCATGTTAGTATATACATGTTAACCTCAGGGTTTTTTTACAATGGAAAGAAATACATGAACAAAACAGACCATCTACTTCTGCTCCCTATCCACTCAATTTCTTTTTTTAGATGCAATCACTACCAGGGTCTGGTGTAAGCTTTCATATTGGACATATATAATAGTGTTTGGCAACATGTGTTGCACCCTGATTTTCAATCAGACATTTTATCCTGAAGCATTTTATAATGTATGTTTAATGGTTTTCTAATGGGCTATAATAAAGATTTGACAATTTAATTACCCATTTCCTGACATTTAAAGGAGCTCTGGTGCTGTGCATTACAGGTTGGACTGCTAATGAGAAGATCAGTGGGTTCAGTCCACTAGCTGCTCTACAGGAAAGAGATGTGCAGTCTCTTCCTGAAAAGATTTACAGCTCTGAAACTTATTGAAGGGTGGCATGAGTCCACATTGACTCAGTCTCAGTTGAATTGGGTTTTTATGGATGTTTAGGTAAACACTCATTTATTAAGATTATTATTAAATTTTATTAGTTTTAATGAACATTTACAGAGATTTTGGGTTTTCATTCATTCTTTGTTGCACTGTTTTCTCTACCCTCCTCCCCAGTTCGTTCTTCTCCCCCCCCCGAATGTCTGTTTTAATTGCCCAATGGCCACAGTGCTGTAAACACTCATTTTTAAGAACTTGTTGCAAAGATGATATCTTTAGGATAAATAACTATAAATGGACTGGCCGAGTCAAAGACTTGCAAAATTCGAGTTTGGTTTAATCTTTTTTTAAAATTTGGTGTTTTGGGGTTGATTTTTTTTTCTTACATTTTATCAGTTTGTACATAATCATTTGTATATATCATGTTTTCTACATGTGCTTTATGTTTTGTACAGTCATTTGTGTACATTATATCTTATATAATTAATTACCATTGCTCTGTAGGCATATTATAACCTGTTTTTTGAAGCCGTCATTAAACCTTTCTTCACCCTTTTCTTCTTTGCCCTTTGAACATTTATATGCAAGTTACTTTGTTATCTTCCTGTTTTTACGGTAGTGACCTTACATAATATTTGTCTTTATGTGACTGAGGTATTTCATTGATTAATGCTCTCCAATTTCTTAAAAAATTATTGCTCCTGAGTGTTACATAGTATTCTATTGTATGAATGCACCACAATTTCTCTGTACATTCATTTGTTGATGGGCATTTGGGCTGCTTCCATTTTATTGCTATTGTAAATAGCACTGCTATGAACATAGGTGTACAGATATCCATTTGTGTCTCAGTTCCAATTTCCTTGGGGTATATTCCCAGCAGTGGAATAGCTGGGTCATATGGGATTTCTGTGTTCAGGGTTTTTTTGTTTTGTTTTGTTTTTTTCTTATTATAAAATAGAGATTTTTTTATTAAGCGTCATTCAGTTTCTGCATAAAAATCACCAATTGAAAAAAAAAAAAAGAAGGTAGAGAGAAAGAGAGTGAGATCTCAGTATCATCAGAATGGAAGAACCAGGAATAGAGTATGTTCTTTGGGCTCATGGTCCCTAAGATCCCTGTAGGTCTCATAGATTCAGGGAAAGACTGATATCAAAACACGTGGAGATTGCCAAAGAATTCTAGGTTACAGATATTGAAAGTAGACAAAGACCTTTTTCTAGAACCAACACAGAGAGAAAGCCTTCCCCTAACTTAACACCCTGAATTTGGAAGTCTAGCGCCTAAATTCTGAGAAATGAAATTGTTAAAGCCCCCCTTTTATGATATTTTTCTTGTAGTAAGACTATATAGCAAAGGCAGAGAGTAATCGCCTCTGTTTAGGAGTATCTATCTCTTTGTTTAGTGTCCTCTTTGCTCTTTAGACATCCATTTGACTCAGGAAGAAAATGATAACAAATTTTTTGTCTACAGTGGTTAGAGTCAACAGATCAATTATAAAATAAAGGAGACAATTGCTATTGATTTTATTCCAAACACAGTACAATCAAGCATGCTGTTGGGGGATAAATTTCTGGTAAATTGTTTATATATACATTTACTGAGAGATGCCTTGGGAGGCAACTGATGCCAAGGTTGTGGGCATATACTTTTCCGAGTATGTGTATGAGCTGCTGTTTTGACTGTTAAAAAATCATGTGAAATCTCTTCATTTGTGTAAGCGTAGTGCACAAGCCAGCAGAGAAATCTAATGAGGACATTTTAAAGACTGGGTTAAGGCGTTTTAGGGCATGGAAAGCTACTAGGTGACAAATAAGCACTTATTGGCTTGTTGCCCATTCCTGCTTTATATTCACTTCAAAGAAGAAAATTTTCATTAAAAACAAAGCAGTTAAAATGTCAAGGTGCCCATTCTCTTTTTTCAGACTCTTCTTTTTACATTACAAAATAAGTGGATTGAGTGAAGCATAAACTGCAGATAAATAAAGGCTTTTCTTGGCATTCCTTGGAGAAATCAAATCCAGACCATGGTGAAAGGTGATTGTACTATATGCACTACACAGACTATTTCTTCTAATTATCAGCATGAATGTAATTACTTACAAGCATCTCAGGCTCCTATGATCATGTCCCATAGAGCATTTCATCTTTAATGATTTTCCTTGATAGAAAGCCAGTTGGAAGCATTTGTTGCATAACATTGCTCAACCCGAAAGAAAAATACGTACTTCTCGGAAGAAAGATCTGTATGCTTTCTTTTCAATGGTACTTATATTCTGCCAGAGTTTGATTAGGAGCTATCTTGGCACAAAGATCGCTAATGACTGAGTCAAATAACTTATATAGATTAAACAATTTCTTGAGGAAAAAAATTGCAATGTCGTATGGCATTTTCCAAGAATATTGAAGTTCAGAATTGTAACCACTTAAGGTGAATGGTTAAATCATCTAACTTCTGAGAGAAGAGAGTATTGGAGGGAGTGCCTGAGTGCATTTGTAGATTCTTAGATGAGGTAGTTTTAGGGATTCAATTCCTGGACTGGGGGTGAAAACTAAGTGGAAACTCAAATAAAGATGCAACATTTTTAAAGGTATAAGAGCACAATTATTTGTGCTTAACTGCTACTAACTTAAAGGTTGGTAGTTTAAATCCACCCAGTAGACTTGTGAAAACCCCATGGAGTAGTTACACTCTGTAATGCTTGGGGTTTCCAGGAATCAGAATTAGCTCAAAGGCAACAAGATTGGTTTGTGTTCAGGTTTAAGAATTTTTAAAAAAACAGTTCCCCAAAGGAATGCATAGTTCTGGCATTGTTGAGAAACAAGGCAGGTTTACAGTGTTGTTAAGTGCCCTTGAGTTGAGTGTTGGACAGTGAACCTGAACCCTGCCCTGTCCTGTGCCATCCTTAGCATCTCTGACACACTAGAGCCCCAGTCTGAAGTCACTGTGTCAGTTCATTTCATTGGGGATCTTTCACTCCTTTGCTGATCTCCCATCTTTCCAAGGAATAATCTCAAGTAGGTACATGTCCAATGCATGAAAGATGAAACTTCACTATCTTCGCTGCCAAGGAACACTCCAGCTGCACTTTTCAAAGACATATCTATTTGTTCTTTTGACAGTCCAGGGGATATTCAGTGCTCTTATCCAGCACCACAACAAAAAGGCATCAGTTCTTCCTCTGTCATCCTTATTTATTGTCTATCTCTCAGAAGCATAGCAAGTGATTGAAAAGGCTATGGCCTAAATCAGGCACACCTTAATCTTCAAACAGACATCATTGCTTTTCAGCATTTTGGAGAGGTCCCTGCCAGTGGACTTGTTCTATGCAATATGTCTCCTGATTTCCTGACTGCGGGTGCTGAGAGTGTTGACTGTTGACCCAAACAAGATAACGAAAATTTATTCTGATAAAGAAAACCATTTGCCACTGAGTTGATTCCAACTCATAGTGATCTTTAGCAAAGCATAGAGTAGCTGTCCATAGGGTTTTCAACAGCTGATTTTTTTCTTTCAAGGTACATCTGGGTAGACTTGAATCTCCAAATTTTTAGTAACCAAGTATGTTAACTGATTTCCCCACTCAGGTTCTCCTTGCTCTGATAAGTGTCATTTAATAACTTTTACGAAAACGTTTCATACTTTGTGAGTTTATTTAAGTTAATAATTTGAAATAATATAATTTATTTATTTAGAAAAATTAGTATTCTTAGTTTCTATATACATGAGGCACTCTGACTTTGAAGTGACTAAAAAAAGATTAGTGATTCAAATCCATCAGTCACTCTATGGGAGAATCATGGGTAGTCTCCTGAAGTAAAGATTCATAGCCTCAAAAGCTCGAAGAAAGGTCACATCATAAGTCACAATCAACTTGATAGTAGTAGGTTTGAGGTTTGTTTTGTTTTGTTTTAATGCATAGAATCATAATTGATATGCTGGAAAATACAGAAATAGTTATCATCAATTTTCTGTTTAGGGTACAAAGCAACCATTCTTCCTACCTTCCTGACATTTTAAA